AATCGGCGGGATAAAAAAAGTTATTTGAACTTTTCGCAATTGACTCCTTTAATATGATTAGTTTTAAATATTTTGAAATATTTTATTATTTACTAATATCTGTATTAATAAAAAGTGCAATTATTTATTTTAAATGCCGACTATATTTCAAAATAAATAGATAAAGAAGCTTTTTGAAGAACAACATGAATAGATTTAAATAGGTCTATGATATTTAATAGGGGTCTATGATATCCTCAAATCCCACGATACACCGTCTTAATTCCTCAACCCCAGATACAGTAATAATGAAAAATCCTATAATTTGGAAACAAGTTGTATTTTGGCACTTTGTATTTTCAATGTTTTGTTTGTGTTGGTTAGTACAATTATAGTCCACCAAGTCTAGTCGAAGAAGTCGGAAGCATAGTCCCGACTTAATTAAAGGAGGGAGGTTTAGAGCAGAGGTGGGTCGGAACAGCCCGAGGTGTCGGAAATCGGAACTGTCGGAAATCGGAAATGACTCAAAAGTCGGAACTCGGAAATCGGAAATCAAAATTTTTTTTCGGAAATCGGAAATCGGAAGGAAAAAAACGTCGGAAATCGGAAATCGGAAGGCGGAAATCGGAAATAAAATTTTTATTTTCATAACTGAAATTTATTTAAAATTGTAAGGTGGTAAATTATGGGCCTTCTTAAGTGTAATTTGAGGGTGTAAAAGTTCTTTTTGCAACTCAAAAGTCAAATTCGAAGGGATTAAAAGAGATATTGTGGGATTTGGTAGATTAGACGGGATATCAGAGAATTTATAGAATTAATAGGGATATTTAGAGTTTAAAATTGAAAACTGATAGAGCCTATGACCCCTCGTAAGCACACGATATAACTCAAAGTCCTCCTTAATCTAACCTAATCCTCCGATATACTATTCAACTTCCATTTACAGCGCCGCAGGCAAAATTTTTGGGATTTTTTGGAGCCTTAAGCCAAAAATCTTCCATTTTTTGCGCCGCAGGCGAAAATTTTGAGAATTTTGGAAAAATCTCTAGTCGGAAATATGCTTCAAAAATTCTCGGAAATCGGAAATTTTTCCAAAATTTCGGAAATCGGAAATCGGAAGGAAAAAAACGTCGGAAATCGGAAGTCGGAAATCGGAATTCCGACCCACCTCTGGTTTAGAGTGGCGTGTTTAGTATAGAAGGCGAAGCTTTTTAGTAGTGTCTATTGTTAGTATAGTGTTAGTGTTATGCTGTAGTCGAAGCCAATGCATAGTCTCTCATTCTATAGTATTCTTTTTGTTAGTCAAGTCTCTTCTGTTAGTATCGGACACACCGCAATTCGATACATAACATTAAGAGTCATTAAATCAAAAAATTTTCGCCTGCGGCACTAAAAAGGACTCATTTGGGAGTGAAATATAATGGATCAGTGTGAATAAAATTTTATTTTTTAGTACCTATATTTTGAAAATTTCTCCCACTGTGTATTCATAGCTTAAACTTTTTAGAATCATTTTGAGAATTTTACGCTAGCAATAATAATTTCTGGATTCCAGCCTTAATAATATAAATATTAAAAAATAACTTTACAAAATCACAAATAAATAAAGATAAATTTATAGAGGGAACAAGTTTTACGTTGTTCTCAAACATGTTCTCCTATTACATTTTATCCCTTTAATTTTAATTTATTTGCATAACATCCAAAAATATTAAATACAATTGGAATATGTAATAATATAAAGGTAAATTATTTTTGTTATTTTTTATTTGGTAATTTTCTGTGTACATAAAAATGCACAAAACTTACAATATTTTTATGTAACTTAAAAATATTAATCTTTTTTTACATTTTTTATACCATTCGATAGAGCAGATTATCTTCTACAAAATATGATTGAAATCAATATTTTTAGAAATTTAGAAGAAATATTAGGATTTTTTAATACTCTAAATAACACCAACAAAAATACAAAATTTATACCATTTAATTAATTTAAATTTTATTTTTAAATTTAAAAATTCTCTATAAATTTAAAAAACTCTTTATATTTATCCAAATGATTCATTGATAGAGAAGGAAATTTAATATTTATTTTTTTATTCGTTCTAACTTTTATAAACAAAAAGGAAAAATAAATATGTATATATAAATTACATTTTTAAATTTAATATTTTCGAATTTATTTAAATTTTTTATTTTTGATTAAAGAAAATTTTTATGTCTAATGTGTAGAGCTGTGATTTTTATGCAAATACATATTTTTTCTGCAAACTTGGCATGATGTATAATGCACAAAAAACACTGTTTCCGCATGTTTTGAAAACTTTAGAGGGGGTTTCTATTTGCATATAATGCATATTTTTGCATATTTCAGACTTTGGTGCATAAATGCATATTTTACTGCATATTTTGAGGTTTTTGGGGAAAATATCGCGAAAATTGCCTAAAATCCTGCCAAAAAGTGAAAATTTAGTAAAAATTTTGGAAAAAATTTGTAAAATTTAAGAATTTTGTAAAAAAATTTTTTTTGCTTATTAGGTACGACCCAAAATTGTCCTTCCACAAAATTTGTTGGCAAAAATTGAAATATCTCTTTCAAAAAATCTCTCCCAAGCAGTTTTTCGATGGCTATGTAAAACGTATTTGATTTTGATGTTTTAGATTTGGCTAAACAAACAAATTTTCTAAATAAAACTTGAAAGAGATATTTAAAGACATGCAAGTTTTGTTGAGGGGATAATATTTACTTCAATTACAAAAATAAAATAAATAACGGCTAATTAAACAAAAATGAAACGAAAATTAATTTTCATTAGCATCAATCTAAAAATGGTTGGATCGCTTATCCGTGTGTTAACGGGCACTATTCATTTCACCATAACTTTTTTTATCTCTTATATTTTTTAATATTTTTATAGTCACTTTTTAGCCCAAACAATTCTCTTTCAGAGCTCTACTCATCGGAGTTGAATCCGATGGTTTACTCCTTTTAGTATTTTCGATAGACATCATATATCTTTTAATGATCCGGAATTGAACTTAGGCCGATTTAAACTTCACAAACCAATGTACACCTCACAATCCCTCTATATCTCTGTTAATCCCAAAGATTCATTCTTATTACTCGTAATCCATCCACCATAGCCAAAACTTTTCGAATTTTGGATGGAGAAGTCAACTTTAGTCTTTTTTAGCACGATACGCAAAAATTTGGAAGGCTAAGAAAGCCACCTTGTTTTTTTTTCAGCCCCGCATGCGAAAATTTTGAAAATTTTGGACGTCCTTAAGCCAGATTTCTTCCCTTTTCAGCGTCGCAGGCGAAAATTTTGAGAATTTTAGAAGGCCAAGAAGCCAGATTTCTTCCTTTTTCACCGCCGCAGGCAGTTTACTTGAGTTAATTATATTAGCGTGGATATTTTGGATTTCTTACATATTTTCGTGCATATTTCGGCAATTTTTTATGCATATTATAGTGCATATTTTGCATTTTTTAATGCATAAAATTCACAGCTCTACTAATGTGGCTTTTTTGTTTCCAAATTTTACTTAAATAATTATTATTCCTTTTTTCTGTCTTTATCATTAATAAAAATGTTCCGATAATTTTATTTCCTTAATTTTAAAATTTCAAGTCATTTAGTTATCTGAAATAGCAAAAAAAGAAACATTCTAGTAACCACTTTTAGAAATTATAAATGATTACACCTCACACCTATCTTAACCTGCATTACATTGAGGCATAAAATTACCATTCTCAATTCATTTTACTTAAACAAATAATTATTATTTTACACAAAATTTTAATGAAATTTTATGTATGCGGATGAGTTATTGCGGATGTCTGGATCCTGTAGACATAAAAAATTCCAGCTTTTTAGAATAATGGGGTTAGATTAGAGTGTTTAGAGTGATAGAGACTGCACTCAACAATCAGACAAAAAACGATGTCTTAAGTTAGACTCGTAATCCAGAAAGATTATCCGAAACCAGCCATAATGGTCTTGTACTATTTTTCCCCCATTAATTTAATTTTTAAAGACGAAAGTCAATGATAATCACATTAATAATTACACTCATTTGCCTTCTAATACAATTAAATGCTCAAATAAATGATGGAATATTTCCACAAGAAATTCCAATTGAAGAAAAATTTGAACAACTTAAATGGAATAAAACTAAAAATATTTTTGTTTCAAAAAATTCAATAGAAAATACCCAAAAATGCCTTAAACGCCATTTTTCTGCCGATTCTTTTGTTTGTGTATGCAACAGCATTCATTGTGATCAACCTGAGGAAATTGGAAAATTTACTGGAGATAATGCTTTTATTTATCAAACAGATCCTATAAAACAACGTTTAAATAAAAAAGAATTAAAAATTATAACAAGAAAGAATAATGGAATTAAATTAGAAATGGAGAATTCAGGTGATATATGTATACCTAAATATAATATTAATAATTTGGTGATAAATTCACTACATAAATTCGGAATTAAGTTAAATCCATCTATTATCTCCACGTTGTCTCATATCGGAATTTAATGAATGATCTATGGCCAAACCAAAAAATTTATTGGTTCTCTTAGATAATTAGATCAGTTCCCAGAGTCTGCGATCTTTATCCAGGAGTGAATAAATTTTTATCTTTTCTATTTTACTAATAAAATTAAATTAAGTTAAATAAAATTTTAAGTAAAAATTCGAATTAACGCTTCTCAGCAATATCAAAAAATTCTTGGATTTGGAGGTGCATTTACCGATGCTGTCGGTTATAATTTAAACTTGCTTAGCAGGAAAACAAGAATGCAACTGCTTAGAACATATTTTGATAAAAATATTGGTAAAAGTTTAACTAAAAGTATGACCTTCATATAAGATACACCCAATATTAGATATCATTACTTGATATAGGTATGTATTTTTAATCGATTGATTAGTTATCTGGTGGGGAGAGCTATCTAAGCGATATTTCATTATACTCTATGATTTTTCGGACCCGAGGTTGTATCTTATATTGATGTCCACCTATATTTTCTGTAAAAATTTAAAAAAAGGTATTAGATACTCTGTTGGGAGAGTGCCGATATCTAGTTGCGATTTCTCTTCTAGAGTGTATTCCTATTGTGATACAGATAACGATTTTAAACTCAAAACTTTTGCGTTAGCTGAAGAAGATTTGCATATGAAGGCAAGTAAAAATTTATATCAAGTTATTACAGAAAATAGAAAGTTGAAGGATTGATTACTGATCTAGATCTTACTTTCAATTTAAGATACCTCACATTTTAACTGCCAATCTACTTGCTGGATCACCGCTTAACTTAGTTGCTACTTCGTGGTCAGCACCTGCTTGGATGAAAACTTCTAGAAAAATGCCAGGGGGTGGAAGTCTAAGGTTTTGTTAAGCATCATTGTTTATTTTTTAATTTTCAGAGGAAAATTAGATGGCCCTTTTTATCATACTTATACTCATTATCTTAGAAGGTAAACTTATTTTTGCTAATTTTAATCAATCTCAAGTAACATAAAATTTCATTTCCTCTTGCGGCTTAGACATGTGATTAGAACTATAATCAACATGTGAAAGCACTGTTTTATTAGTTGTAAAAATTTAAGCCCGGGAATAATTTAGGAGATTGTCGAGGTGATTTATAGTTATTGAGGTCAAGCCAAGAAACTAAAATTTATTTTAACAGATTTTTTGAGGAATATTCCAATTTAGCAAATATTACATTTTGGGGAATGACTATAGAAAATGAACCTCAATATGGGCTCGATCCTTACTATAAGTTTCAAGCAATGTGGGTTAGTCCAGAAAATCAGAGGTAAATAAGGAAATATTTTTTGGAAAATTAAAAACGATTTTAAAGAGATTTTGCTAATGATATACTTTCTCCAATATTAAAATCATCACCAGCAGCAAAAAATTTATTATTAATGGCACATGATGATAATAGAAATTATATTTTAGATGCAGCACATAAAGTTGGAATTTTAATTGAATTTAATAAAAAATTTATTTTTACAGATTTTTGGAAATAAAAATTCAACAAATATAATAGCAGGCTTAGCTTATCATTGGTATTCGTTTAGCCCTCATTCTGTACTTTCTGAAATTAACAATCTTTATCCAGACAAATTTCTATGGGGATCGGAAGTTTGTATCTGATTAATTAAATATCCTTTCCCTTTATTTACTATAAAAATTTTCAAAGAAAAAATAATTTCTGACTCGAAAGAAGAAATTAAATAATTCTTGTTAAAATTAAACGATTTTCCGGTAAATATTGTTTGTTTTGTAATAATATTCCTGAGAAGAATTACATAATAAATACACTCTGTTCCAAAAGTATATGCCCACCTATATTTTTAGCTTTATCTATGTGATTTCGCTATAGATTTTTCTTAAATTTTTTATGATTAAATACCATGACATTTAGAAACAAAATACAAAAAAAAATCAGAAATATGTGTTTTTGTTTTTTGTATAGAGATCAAAATCAAATATTAAGTGTTCCAAAAGTATATACCTTTGTTTTATAGGTTTTTAATAGTTATAGGTTTTTAATATATTATAGGTTTTTAATATATAATTTCAAGAATAAATTTAATAAATTTTCCGTTACTTTGAAATAAATTAGAAATCAATTCTTTAAATCATATTTAAGATTTTTATGTTTTAGGCATGTGCTGGGTGGGCAGGAGTTGATCAAGGTGTGTCTTTGGGTAATTGGACTAGAGCAATGATGTACGGGCGTGATATATTACGTGGACTACAAAATTGGGCTATTGGGTGGACTGACTGGAATTTATGTAATTATATAAATTTTTTGGAAAATAGTCACAAATAAATTAAAAAATATTTTTCAGGTCTTGATTTAATTGGCGGTCCAAATTGGGTCAAAAACTATGCTGATTCTCCTGTAATATTTTAAATTTAATAAGGAAAATTTTAATAATCTCGATTCGCTTAGATTATTGTAAATGTCACTGCTGATGAATTTTATAAACAGCCAATGTTTTATGCTATGGCTCATTTTAGGTAGAGATTAATAAAATTTATTTTTTAAATGAGTTGGCTAATGAAAAATTTAAAAAATAAACTGATTTGTGAAAATTTTTTAGCTGTTTTGGGGAATTACACTTTGATAATAAAAAGATGTTTTAGTCGACAAAAAATTCAACAGGTTTAAAAAAAATTCAACAGGTTAACCACGTACTCCTCACTATAAAATAAATTTCTCTCTATTACTAGGGTGGTCCATAAGTTCGTTCGTTTTTTATGCTGTCCTAGACTCTCTTTACTCATTCCTGGAGCATGACACGAAAATATTTTTATAATTATACACATGTACATATACTTAATTTCCAGCCGATTTATTCCACCTGGCTCAATTCGCATTGATTCACAAATTTCAAGTAAATTAACTCCAAGATTAACTAAGCAAATCGAATCTGTCGCCTTTCGCAATCCAGATGGCAATCGAGTACTAGTATTAATTTCAAATTCGGAAGAATTGATTGAAGGAATTATTGAGGAAGAAATTAATGAAAATAATAAAAAATTAGAGGACGTGAAAATAAGAACAATAAATGTTAGCCTACCCCCTAAGTCGATATCTACATTAATTTGGCCTAAAAACTTTAATGGATAAATATGGTAATAAAGTAAATTTTTTTCTCAATAATTTTAACAAAATTAAGGAAAAATTGGACAGTTTCGGTAATCACTATAAATTCAGAAAGCCTCCTTATTTCTTTAAATCACCATATGCGAATTAATCGTACATATCTTAGATACTTCATTAATGTTTCCTCCATCGATACCCTCTTGATCCTACTATATCCGTCAAAATATCTCTCCAAATCCCACTATAACTAATACCCTTCTATCCCCCGTTATTTCCTTAAATCCACTTAATCCCTCCAAATCCATTACTACACAATGGTAAATGTCCAGCTCGTCCTCCACATGTCCGCAAATGACTATCTGCGAAAATGCATTCTTTCTGCATTCTCCTCCTTTCCTCTCCCTACCATAATTTTTCTCAAGTAATCAACTGATAGGTTGACATTTTGGCGCGAAAAACAAAGGAGGCAAATAAAAAATGTTTATTTACAAATAAATAAATAAAAATTAAAGAATATAAATCTGTGATAGAGTTCTAAAATATATTTCAAGTAAATCAGGTGGATAGGAACCTTTGATTGGGTTATAATGTAATGATAGAAACCAGTAAAAAGCCATATATTTTGGTAATTCATTTTATGATAAATGTCTCATTAGTCTAACCATTCTAAAACGTAATATATTCCAAAAGGCCTCAATTTGTTGTGTATTTGCACCAGTCTTTGGATCAACGAAAAATTCTTGGTGGTTGACTGTTTTATGCTGATATCCTATTTGCTCAGGTCCGTTGTAGGCTCGCCACTCATCAGAATAAATGAGTGTATTACGAGCTATGTGGCGCTCAATCAAAGGATGTAAAGTTGCTTTATCCCTCTTCTTTACAAAAAAATCGGGTTTCAGATCTAAGAAAGAAAAGAAATAATTTTAAATTTATACACATAAATCTAAAACATAAATCTAAAATCTATACTGCATTCATTGACATTTAGTGATTCCTGATGGGAAAATGGTCAATACTTGATAGAAAAGATTTTATCCTTTTATGCGTCTCTAGCGTTTTTTTCAGCTTTGCGTTTTTTGTAATTGCCTAGTGCGCAGAAATTGTTCTGAAATTGCCCTTTGAAATTGCCCTTACCATAATTGCACATTAGAATTTTTGGCCCTATCGCAAATGAGGTGCGTAATCATATTTTTTCTCCTTCCTTTCTCAGGTTAAAAATGGGGAACTTTTTCCTTAGTTTTTAATGTATGCTGATTTTGCCGTATAGAAAAATGATGAGAGAGGATTAATTTTTTACATTTTGTTTTTTGTTCATGTTTTGACTGACCGTGTTTTCACAGTCAAAACAGGGACAATTTTGACTGAAAAACAGTCAAAACACGGACAGTTTTGAGACACGGTCAGTCAAAACCGGGTAGAAAAGAAAATGAAAAAATTAATCCTCTTACATTATTTCTCCTTACTACGGAAAAATACTAAGGAAAAAGTTCCCCATTTTTAACTTGAGGAAGGAAGGAGAAAAAATATGATTACGCACCTCATTTGCGATAGAGCCGAATTTTTTATTTAAAAATTACTTTTCTATGGTTACTTCTTTTTTAACACCTACTAATTCAAAATTATTATTTAAAAACGCGTTGTAAAGGGCAGATGTTTTCCTCAAAACTAGTAGTTAGGCAAAAATCAGAAAAAATTATAAACATTTTATACACGTATGTATATAGTAATTATTTAAGAAAAAATATGTTTATATTTCAACTTAGTTTTATTTAAATTTTAATAATAATTAGGTTATTTTTTTACGAAACAATTAAAAAAATTTTTGATTTAAAAATGAATCAAACTCAATGTATTGCCGCTGAAGCATCAGTCCTCGATTTAAAATATAATATTGTAAGAGGATTATTTATAATTTTAAGTAAAACTATTATTTTACTACTCATACGTATTATTTGGTCTTACAAAACAAAATCTGTCAAATTACATACAAATCTAATTGTAAGCTGAATTTAATTATTACTTCACAAATTAATGCTAAAAAGTCGCATAACCTGTAATAAAAAGAATTTCTACCCATACACAACAATGTGAATACTGTACTTTACTGTGGCGAAACAGTAAAGTACCCTATTCTATCAATTATGCCCTCAGACTTTTCGGTCTAGCGCATCGCAGTATTTGGTTAAATATTGAGGAAATTGTGAGGGAATAACCAATATAAAATTATGTTTAAAAATAAATTTAGAGAAAAAAATACTCAGGGTAAAAGTAGATAAGCAAACTTTCGTTCTGTTACAATGAGGGGGAAAAGATTTTTCGTAATGGCTGGGGCGATGTTATTGTTTTTGACACATCTAACTTATTTGACACATCTAACGATTCTTGTTTTTGATATTTAAATTTCTATAAAATTTTAAAGATACTAATCAGCAATGTTCTTTTTCTTTATGCAATGTACGTACTTTCACATATTATTGAATCTGTTATGAATTTTGTCGGTTTAATTTTGATAGTTATTCTATTATAAATGAATTTAGATTGTTTTGTTTACATATTCGGATCCATGTGAATGTTTAATTAAAGTTTGGCTAGTTTATTTGATTAGGATGCCAGCCTATTTCTATTATCTCGGCTCTCCTTTATTTCATTTTGCTATAATGATTGAGCGTGTTTTGGCTACAGTTTATGTTAAAATTTATGAAAATCAAGGAAAATTATTTTCAGTTATTTGTACAATTGTTGTGGTAAATATTTTTAGCTTTAAAATCCGTTTTACAAAATTTTAGTGGACAATAAATCTAATTTATGGTCTTTATATTTATATTACAACACAAATGGATACCAACACTTTTAGCCATCCAATGGTTTATTTATCACTAACAACTATTTATAATTCTCAAATATTTATATACCTAAACTTCTTTTTCTTGTTTTTGGTGTTATGTATAGCTATAGCTGATTATTATTTAATTCTTCGAAACCAAAAAATAAAATTAAATTTGTATGTTATAAAAAAGCTATTAAATCCTAAGTTTAAATTCTATTAAAATATATTTAAAGTTTCAAATCCACAATAAACTACAGTCTAAGCAAAAGTTATCAAGCTAAACAAAATATTCTCTTAATGAAAATCATTTTCCCTCTCGACTTTTCTTATTCAATTGTTTTCGCATTATTTAATATTATGGTAATCATTTTACGATACAATCGCGAAGAATATGGTCTACTCTTTTATGTACGGACATATGACAGCATAATTTTAGTAAATAAATCATTTTAAAATAAATTAGGTACATAATAACGTACATACAATAACGAGTTGGCCGGTAGCATAATCCCGACCGATATGGGCGAGTATACCGAAGTCGTAGATACGAAGGTCGTAGCGGTATCAGTATCATCATTCCAGAATACCAATATCGATTTTATTTCGGAATCCCGATACCGGCGAAGTCTAATAATAACTAGAGAAATAAGTACGACTCGAAGCCCTGAAATAGATGAGTTAAATTAAATTGGTACCCTTAAACTTTTTAAATTCCAGGTACTTCTAGTTCACGCTGTTATAACATTAATTGTCTACGACTATTTTTTAAAAAAGCAGAATGAAATTAAAAAGAATTTCGTTAAAATCAATATGAATATAAGTTCAGAAATATATTTTAAAAATTTAAATGATTCCTGGAAATGAACTCTTCGATCAAATATGCCATTAGTTTTTTGATATTATTATTTTAAACAAAGTTACATTCATTATATTTCAATATTTTGCCAATTTTCCAGTTATTTCAATATTTGGCACTTTTTTCAAATTATTTCAGTATTTTTGCATTTTTTACCAAAATTTTGGGATTTTTCATAAATTTTAGAAAAAAGTGAACTGATTATTCCCTAGAAAAAAAACTGGGCCATTATTGAAAAGGAGCCCCCATAATTTCTCAATTAACAAAAACACAAAATGTGTAACTGAACAAAAATCCCATAAAGGCCATCCCAAAATTGCCCTCAAAATGTCCCACAGGAGAAAACCCCCCAAATTTTTTTGTGAATTTCTGATGGCCAGGCAGCCAAAATTTATACGTTTGGCGCAATTTTTAGACTAATAACGTCAATATTTTTTATTTGGTTATTGTCCGATAAATATCGAAAAATATCGAATATCGAAAAGTTTTTAAAAAGAATAAATATCTAAAAAAGCAAAAAATTTTTCGGTCGATATTTTTTCTATAAAGTTATGGGGCTCAGACCTTTCGGGCTATCGCACCTTCAGAGCGCCGGTTGAGGGTTTGAGGATTGAGTGAGGAAGCGCAGAGGACCTATGACTAATTAATTAAAATATATTTATACCATTTATTTCATCTATAAAATGTAAATTAAATGAGTTTGTCGTTTAATAAAATATTCGTACAATGGATAATGGATCAATCTAGTTGGTTAAACACAAAAACTTTTAGCGATTGTATAACTATGGAGCTGGGCCTACATTCTGTCTGAAAATAATAAGCACCCCATTAACATAAAAATTATTTCCACAATTTAATTGCCTAAAAATGCAGGTTTCGGCCTTCGTATTTTCATTTATTTTCGGTAGAACTATTGAATTTACATAATAATCTTGTAAGCAAAAAGTACAAAGTATTTGGTAATTTTTAAATGTTATAAATATGAATTTAAAAAAAAAGTTAATTTGAAAAAAATTATGAAAAAAAAGTATTTTTCATGTGAATTTACTGAGTTAATTATTACAAAACATCTAACTATGAAACAGGGTTGCGTCGTAAATACAAATTAAATTACGAATTACGGCGTTTTTTGAGTTACGAAATACGATTACGAAAATATTGGGAAAAATTGTTAATTACGCAAATAATAAATAAAAATTACGAAAAAATATTATTGCTGGAAAAAACTTCTGGTACTTTGTCATTAAATTTTTAAAGGACTCGCTTTGATATTTTGTCATGCTTGGTTCAATCCATGATTACTAAATAAGATTTAAACAATTATTTTTTTCAAAAAAATTG